GATTTTCGTGCAATATCGTTAAAGACTCTGTTAGTTTAGTGATTGTTTGTGAAGTGAAAGTTGCATTTAAAGAAGAAAAGTTGTAAAAAACTTAAAAGTAATGTAATAAAGCAATGTGGTTTTGTTCTACTATTATAAATTTGTATATTTATAAACTATTCCATTAAAAAGTGCAGTACTAAACCTTACCAACAGGGGACGTCTAGGCCGCATTGGGGACCATTTCAGGCAGGGGTGTCAAAACTCAGTCCTGGAGGGCCGGTGTCCTGGAGAGTTTAGCTCCAACCCTAATCAAGCTCTTACCAGATACTAGAAGCTTCCTGGCTGGTGTGTTGAAGCAAGTTGAAGCTAAACTCAGCAGGACACCGGCCCTCCAGGACTGAGATTGGACTCAGTCAGTCAGTCTTTATTCATTTCCCGAAGGCAATTTGGTCGCAGCATACAAGCATGTCACACATAATACACAAAGCACATTATACAATACAAATTCTACCCTAAATTGAAAAACTTTACCGCTGGGGGAATGAATGAAGTTTAAACCGATTTGTTTTACTAATAGGATTTCTGTATGGAATACTAGAAGGGGGAAGGCAAAACTGGTGGTGGATAGGATGGGAATCATCTGACACAATACTCAACGCTTGTCTATGGTATAACAGGTCTCCTGTAAGCAGATGTGTTGTAATGTGTAATAATGCAGTGTTCTTGTCAGGATGGTGTGTGAGCTGCTGCTGTCCTCGGTGTGGTTTCTCTTCGTCATCTTCTGGCTGGAGACCATCAGCGTGTGGCTCTTTCTGTGTCTGTACTATCAGGACCGGGTCTTCTATCACTGGGGCTCAGGGTGAGGCCATCAACATCCCATAATTAAACACCGATCAACACATTTACTGCTGCACCGAGCCAAATTACACCGACATGCTGACATGTGAAGCAGCACAAAACAAACCACGCCTAGAAACTAACTAGACCACGCCCCCTTTTACATATGCGTATATATTTCTTAAAGGGGCGGTTCACTCAAAAACAACGTTCACTCACTCTCTGCTCCTCCTCAAGTGAGGTCCTCCATGAGTTTCCTTTATCTGTTGAACACAAAAGAAGATATTTTGAAGAATGTTAGAAATCTGTCACCATTGACTTCCATAGTAGGAAAAACAAATACTGTGGTAGTCAAAGCTTGCAACATTTTTCAACGTATTTAGTGTGAACTGCCCCTTTAAATAACTGTATTCATTAATTTCCTTCAGCTTAGTCTCTATTTTAGCGGCTGCCACAGTGGAATGAACCGGCAACTATTCCAGCATGTGTTTTACACAGTGGATGCCTTTACAGCTGCAGCCCAGTACTGGGAAACACCCACACACTTATTCACACTCAGAGACTATGATTAATTCCCCTATAGCGCATATGATTGGACTGTGAGGGAAACCCACGCCACAACGGGGAGAACATGCAAACTCCACACTGAAACACCAACTGATCCAGCCGGGCTCAAACCAGCAACTTTCTTGCTGTGAGGAGACAGGGCTGACCACTAAGCCACCGTGCCCCCCTTTATTCTGAAGTATTTACCTGGATAATTAGTTGTCTTATGGCAGAGTGACACTGAAAGTCTCCCGCTTGAGAATTCTGGTTGATAGTAGACAGGCTTATTTATATTGATTAGCATGTTTGTGTGTGTAATATCTGTGTTGTGTGTGCAGGGGGTTTGCAGATGATCCGGATCAGTTCCTCTACGTGCTGAGCAGGTCAGCCTCATTACTCTCCTTCCTCTAGTTAATCTTATCTTAACTCTAGTTGATGTCATTGTAATGTGCTGTAGTGTGAACATGTGTTGTCATTACCGTGCAAATCTGAATTGCGAATCGAAAATACGACTAAAGGAAACCCGCCAATTTCTGCCGTGCATCATGAAGCGTTTAAACACGTGTGTGTGTGTGTGTGTGTGTGTGTGTGTGTGTGTGTGTGTGTGTGTGTGTGTGTGTGTGTGTGTGTGTGTGTGTGTGTGTGTGTGATAAAGCAGAACGTTTACATTATACGGTGAAGAAAAGGTTCATGAGATTTGACAGCTTGATTCGAATTCTTTATAATAGCTATTAATGTTAATAGGCTAAACTTTAATTTACCCTTTATAATGTATCCCTTATTTTCACATCCCAATGTTGACGGGTATGGGTAAACCTTCGGCCCAATCGGAGGTCCTGACTGAGCACTCAGGAGAAGGTTTTCCTCCAGGATACCCCTGTACTTGATGTTTTAGTTTTTCTTTATTAATAACTCTGCAACAGTTTCATCAGTTCTTTGTTTTTCGGTCAATATGGGGTGATTTGTGGACATTGATGAAGAAAACAATTAACGTTATTGATTTTAGCAAATGCCTGCAATAGAACAAAAAGTGAAAAGTGTAAATGTCTGAATCCTCTCCATACCCACTGTACTGCTATAGCCAGGGCCAGACAGAATCTGCAGACACTTTATGCCATTTCTGCTGAGAATTTTGGGACTATCATCACTAAAACCTTAAAATATGAAATAAAAAGTATTATTTTTTTTTTACTTTTCTTAAATGTTTAAAATGCAAATCCTATTTAGATTCACTTTATTTGGTAAACAAAGCAAGTCTCTCATATAATATCTCTACTAAAAGACTGAAAATATGACTGTACACACGGCACTGTACACAAATCAGATGAACATTTTCACATTAGTCAATAATATTCCTGTAATTAATTAAAAAACTGAATAAATTTAGATTTACACACACTCAAGTAAATAAACAGAATTAATGATGGGCTAAAAATCTGCGGAATTCTGCGCGCACAGATTGCGTGTGGGCCTAGCTATAGCTTACTTTATTTTCGAGCATGGTCAGGCTATTTGCTTTCATCTGCATGGATGTGGCGCTAACGTTTTGTTTTATTAATGAGGTACAGAATTTATTCTTCGTATAGTCATAATTTAATAATGTCATGTGCACAGATTTTTGGAATGCCCTTCTACGAAATTCAGACATATTCAGTCACAAAACAATCGTAAATTGAAAGTCGACATTTCACAAGACACTTTGAAAACATCAATATAGATGTCATTCGCAATGACCTTGTATAATTTTCAGATGAATTTAGTCACAAAACAATCGTAAATGGAAGTGCCGAGTTTTTTCGACACTTTGTAAATATCATCACTATTGATCTGCTGAACCTTCGCTGTGTTACAGGATTGATCTGTCAACACACATGCAAACGTGAGGAGGTGATGTCGTCAGTTGGGAGAGGTGTAGCCTGAGGATGAGGGCGGGGCTGCCGTGAGGGGCGGAGCTCCGCTAGTCTGCGATGAGGAGTTTCAGGAGGCCGATGGGAAGGGCGTGATGTTATCCTGTAGTCCTGAACTCAGACTGGTGACCTGTGTGAACGGTTTATCTGTCTAATCTGTTAAACTAGTTGGAGATTCGGCTGTTACTTTCACTCTATAAAACACTAACAGATCCTTGTCGAATTATTGCTTTTCTATTTTTGTACAGATGTGTGTTTTTGCATCATGATGTTGTGTAATAAAAGCCATTTTACAGACTTTTCATACAGGTTTCTTTTTTGTACACGTACATGAGCTCAGCATGATTTTATTTATTTATTTAACATTTCATTCATCATTTCATCTCGCACTGACCCTCAGTCAACACACTCTGACCCACAATGCATACAGAAAAATAGATGCACATAACAATTGTTTCTTTTTATTCATGTTTATACACAGTGTTGACAAATAAGACAGTTATAATCATTTATAGCAAACTCTGCTGTTTTTAAACCACAATATAGTAAAGTACTGAAATTGTGGTGATCCTACAGTTGCTATAGTAACACAACTACAGTAATTGATCTGTTGTGGTGATCCTACAGTTGCTATAGTAACACAAGTACAGTAATTAACCTGTTGTGGTGATTCTACAGTTGCTATAGTAACACAAGTACAGTAATTAACCTGTTGTGGTGATTCTACAGTTGCTATAGTAACACAAGTACAGTAATTAACCTGTTGTGGTGATTCTACAGTTGCTATGGTAACACAACTACAGTAATTGATCTGTTGTGGTGATCCTACAGTTGCTATAGTAACACAAGTACAGTAATTAACCTGTTGTGGTGATTCTACAGTTGCTATAGTAACACAACTACAGTAATTGATCTGTTGTGGTGATTCTACAGTTGCTATAGTAACACAAGTACAGTAATTAACCTGTTGTGGTGATCCTACAGTTGCTATAGTAACACAACTACAGTAATTGATCTGTTGTGGTGATCCTACAGTTGCTATAGTAACACAAGTACAGTAATTAACCTGTTGTGGTGATTCTACAGTTGCTATAGTAACACAAGTACAGTAATTAACCTGTTGTGGTGATCCTACAGTTGCTATAGTAACACAACTACAGTAATTGATCTGTTGTGGTGATCCTACAGTTGCTATAGTAACACAAGTACAGTAATTAACCTGTTGTGGTGATCCTACAGTTGCTATAGTAACACAAGTACAGTAATTAACCTGTTGTGGTGATTCTACAGTTGCTATAGTAACACAACTACAGTAATTGATCTGTTGTGGTGATCCTACAGTTGCTATAGTAACACAAGTACAGTAATTAACCTGTTGTGGTGATTCTACAGTTGCTATAGTAACACAAGTACAGTAATTAACCTGTTGTGGTGATCCTACAGTTGCTATAGTAACACAACTACAGTAATTGATCTGTTGTGGTGATCCTACAGTTGCTATAGTAACACAAGTACAGTAATTAACCTGTTGTGGTGATTCTACAGTTGCTATAGTAACACAAGTACAGTAATTAACCTGTTGTGGTGATTCTACAGTTGCTATAGTAACACAAGTACAGTAATTAACCTGTTGTGGTGATTCTACAGTTGCTATGGTAACACAACTACAGTAATTGATCTGTTGTGGTGATCCTACAGTTGCTATAGTAACACAAGTACAGTAATTAACCTGTTGTGGTGATTCTACAGTTGCTATAGTAACACAAGTACAGTAATTAAACTGTTGTGGTGATTCTACAGTTGCTATAGGAACACAACTACAGTAATTGATCTGTTGTGGTGATCCTACAGTTGCTATAGTAACACAACTACAGTAATTAACCTGTTGTGGTGATTCTGCAGTTGCTATAGTAACAACTACAGTAATTAACCTGTTGTGGTGATTCTGCAGTTGCTATAGTAACAACTGTAGTAACTAATCTGTTGTGATTCTACAGTTGCTATGGCGACAACAACTACAGTAATTTGTTGTGGTGATTCTGCAGTTGCTATGGTAACGCAACTACTGTAATTGATCTGTTGTGATTCTGCAGTTGCTATGGTAACAACAACTACAGTGATTGATCTGTTGGGGTTAATTTTACAGTTGCTATGGTAACAACAACAATTACAGTAATTATCTGTTGTGGTGATTCTGCAGTTGCTATGGTAACAACAACAACTACAGTAATCTGTTGGGGTTGATTCTACAGTTGCTATGGTAACAACATCTACAGTAATTAATCTGTTTTGGTTATTCTACAGTTGCTATGGTAACAGAATTATAGTATTGGTCTGTTGTGATTCCATGGTTGCTATGGTAACACGACAACTACGGTAATTAATCTGTTGTGGTGATTTTGTAGTTCCTATGGTAACAGCAACTATAGTAACTAATCTGTTTTGGTAATTCTACAGTTGCTATGGTAACATAATTATAGTATTGGTCTGTTGTGATTCCATGGTTGCTATGGTAATATGACAACTACAGTAATTGATCTGTTTTGGTGGTTCTTCAGTTGCTATGGTAACAATTATAGTATTGGTCTGATGTGATTCTACGGTTGCTATGGTAACACGACAACTACAGTAATTAATCTGTTGTGGTGATTCTACAGTCGCTATGGTAACATAAGAGCTACAGCGACATGAGCAAATGAGCCATTACTGTGGTTTTCTAGAGCTATACAGTATATTATACTACAAAACACCACAGTTTGCTGTAGTAAAAACTAAAGTACGCTACAGTACCTATTACAGTTTATCCGTTCACCCTAGTTGATACTACAGCACGAAAGAGTTGTAACTAATATAATACACATAAATTATAACCATTTAGTTGAAAATCATGTAAATGTAACAAATGTTCAGCTCTGATTATACTGTAAAATTATGTTTTTATTTATGGTTCATATTCTATTCGAATAATAATTTTTTTAATAGGGAGTAAAGTATATAATACCACGATTTAATAACAAAACTTTGATAATGTTTAAAAGTTTACATATGGGTTTAGTTTTACGCGAACTCACTGAAACCACACGCCTCTATGATGTAATAAATCCTCAAAACAGTTTCTACTTCATGGAAACAGTTTTTGAACGTGTTAATACATGATTATCGCTTTAATTTTGAGTCCCAGAGCGGTGAGTTTTGCTCAGGCTGTGATCGGGCAGCCGCTCAGGGTCCTGCTGCTGCTCTCGTCTGCTGGCCGGAAGTGACACACAGACTCGCGCGCCGCTGTTTTGTCGATAAACTGATCAGAAGTCTTCATTTTTGTGTGTGTGTCTTTGTTGTTTATCGATCATCAGTGCTGACGGGACGCGTGTTTTTGCTCCTCCATGGCTCCTACCATACAGACGCAGGCGCAGCGGGAGGACGGACACCGGTGAGAGGAATAAACCATAATAAACACGCGAGCGCGCACTCTTATCATCAGCAGAGCAGTTAAACTGATGTACACACACACACACACACACACACACACACATGTAGAGCTGTCTAAGAGCACGCTAGCTGATATACACACATGTAGAGCAGTCTAACAGGACACTGTGCGCTTATGAATGTCTCCTGATGGTATGTTCATGTGTGTTTCTGCAGGAGTTCAGCACACAGGACTGTTCCAGAGAGGTAAACTCACCACCGCTATTCAGCTCATTGATCAGTGAAGGCCGTCTGCGTGATGTTGGGGGAAATACAGTGCGAGATGTTCTGTCATTTATTTATTTAGTTTTTTTCTTTATTTATTTTGCGATATGAACACTAATACGCGATTAGAGTACTCATGAAATCAAAAGTAGCCTTGTTGATGTTGTTCGCTCGCATTGCTGGTTCTGTGCTGAACAGTTCCTCTGTGCAGGTCATTCAGAAACAAGTTTGCGGCTTGTAATCTAAAATTGAAATCTGGAAATTCTCAGATTGCGTCAGTCTGAGGTGTGGGGTGGGGCTAACATTCTTAACCACGCCCCTTTCACTGTTATCACTGACAACAAATGGTGAGGAGGAGGAGTCTGTTAGGTTGTAATAACTCTCCTCAAACCTTCTTCCCAATGTTTCTGAATGAAACGCCTACTTTACCACATCCAATCAGCTCGCTGTAGAGAAAACAAGCCACGCCCACTGTTCACTACTTTAATATTCAATTTCTTTGCTCCACAACCAATGACTGTAAACGATATGGGTTGCGTCCGAAACCGCATACTTCCATACTATATAGCACGCTAAAATCAGTAGTGTCCGAATTCATAGAATTGGAAAATCAGTATGTGAGAAGTGCTCGGATGACTCTACTTCCGGGCAGATTCTGGAGTGCGCATCCCAGGCAGTTTTGGGAATTACATCTTTTGATTTTAGTCGTGAAACAGAAGCACTTTTTTTACATAATTTTTGAAAAAATTACTCAATATTTAGCTAAGATTTATAATGGAGGCATGCTTTTGTGATGTGCTGCAGGATTGTGTGTTTAAGTGACATCTGACTCAGCCAATGGTGTGAGGGTGGGGCGGGGCCATCTGCCTGTCTGGCCAATGGCTGACTGTGGGAGAGCTCTGTAATGCCTTTTTCAGTCCCTGTGTGTGTGTGTGTGTGTGTGTGTGTGTGTGTGTGTGTGTGTGTGTGTGTGTGTGTGTCTCAGTTCTGCTGGATCCTGCTGATGAGAAGCTGCTGGAGGAGGAGATCCAGGCTCCATCCAGCTCAAAGAGGTAAGAGAGAGAGAGAGAGCTATCAGCTGACCTTTGACCTGTTTTGTGTGTGTTTGTGTGTGTGTGTGTTCATCTCCATGTGTTCCTGTGTGTATGTATATATAAAACCTGAGTGTGTGTTTTTGCATGTATGTTTGCGTGTGTGTGTATAACCTGTGTGTGTGCGTGCATGACTGTTTCTGTGTGTATGAATGTTTGAGTGTGTTTGTGTGTGTGTGTGTGTGTGTATAAATGTTTGTTTGTTTGTGTGTGTGCATGAATGCGTGTGTGTGTATGTGTGTTATAGGTGTATTGTGTTTTGTGCATAGTACGTGTCTCTTCATCTGCATGTGTTTTGGTGTGTAAATATTGATGTGTAATACGTGTGTGTGTGTGTGTGTGTGTGTGTGTGTGTGTGTGTGTGTGTGTTTCTGATCTCTGCATGTGTTTGTCTGCATTTGTGTGTTATCTACATCTGCATGTTTAATGTGCGTGTATGTCGTGGTGTATATAATGTGTGTACGTGTGTGTGCAATGTGTGCCTGTTTGTGTATATAATATGTGTGTGTGTGTGTGTGTGTGTGTGTGTGTTTAGGTCACAGCAGCATGCGAAGGTGGTGCCGTGGATGAGGAAGACGGAGTACATCTCCACTGAGTTCAACAGATACGGCGTCTCCAACGAGAAGGTGGAAGTCAAGTGAGTGACACCTGTCTGACCTTTGACCTCTCTGACATTACATGCAGATCATGGGTCATGTAACGTGTGTGTGTGTGTGTGTGTAGGATCGGTGTGTCCGTCAAGCAGCAGTTCACAGAGGAGGAGATCTATAAAGACAGAGACAGTCAGATCGCTGCCATTGAGAAGACCTTCGAAGACGCTCAGAAATCAGTGAGGGAACAAACACACTCACACACACACACACACACACACACACACACACACACACACTGATTTCTAAGCTCACTCTCTGTTGGATTCTTTCAGATTTCCCAGCATTACAGCAAACCCAGAGTCACACCGGTGGAGGTGCTGCCCGTCTTCCCTGACTTCAAGGTCTTACACACACACATACACACACACACACACATTCATAAACACTTAATCACAGACATGCTCACTGCAAACATACACACAGATACTCTCACACACACTTACCTTCACATTCAAACACACACTCAGTCATACACTCACGTAATCAAAGACTCGAATCACTTCCGCACACAAACGTACTCACATGCACATTCTTTCAGAGACATACTCACATGCTCACACACACACACACACACACACACACACACACACACACACTCCATTCACACTCACTCACACATGTCAAAAAGACGAGCAATAATCTAGCTGTGACTCCATGACGTGTTGTGTGTGTGTGTGTGTGTGTGTGTGAGATGCTGCTGCGGCAGTGGTGTGTGTGTGAGTGTGTGTTTGTGTGTGTGTGCGTGCATGCGTCAGTAGACAAGTTCACCGTGTTTCTAGAATTCAGCTCAGAAGTGTGTGTGTTGAGTCAGTAAATCAGTGTAAGCGCTGCATAGTAAAGGAGCTCTCACTGTGTGTTTGCGTGTGTGCGCGCGTGTGTGTGTGTGTCGTTCACAGATGTGGATTAATCCGTGTGCTCAAGTCATCTTTGATTCTGATCCGGCTCCTAAAGATGTGTCTGCACCGGCTGGAGTGGACATGATGTCACAGGCCATGATCAGGTGTGTGTGTGTGTGTGTGTGTGTGTGTGTGTGTGTGTGTGTGTGTGTGTGTGTGTGTGTGTGTGTGTGTGAGATGATGATGATGATGATGATGATGTGTGTGTTTCTCTTTATATATATACACACACACACACACACACACACACGACTGACAATCCACTGTGATGACGTGTGTGAGGCTGTCTGTAACGTGTGTGTGTGTGTGTGTGTGTGTGTGTGTGTGTGTGTGTGTGTGTGTGTGTGTGTGTGTGTGCAGGTATGAATATAAGATTGCTCGTGAGTATAACTGGAACGTGAAGAACAAGGCCAGTAAAGGATACGAGGAGAACTACTTCTTCATCTTCAGAGACGCAGATGGAGTTTATTATAATGAGCTGGAGACCAGGTACCTGTCAATCACACTGATGGCCCCGCCCACCATCAGCACACCCACTTACTGTATATCACGGATTCATGTGTGTGTTGATGAACGTGTCTGATGGTAATCTTGTGTGTTTGTTTGTGTGTGTGTGTTCAGGGTGCGTCTGAGCAAGCGGCGGGCGAAGGTTGGCGCTCAGTCATCCACAAACGCAGTGCTGGTGTGTAAACACAGAGATATGAATGAGAAGGAGCTGGAGGCTCAGGTCAGTACACACACACACACACACACACACACACCGCTCATGTGATCATCTACAGCTCTCATTTACAGACTAATGAATGGTGTGTGCGTGTGTGTTACAGGAGGCTCGCAAGGCTCAGCTGGAGAACCACGAGCCGGAGGATGAAGAGGAGGAGCTGGACCTGGAGAAGGACATGCAGGAGGACTCGGGTAACACACATTCTACCAGTTTCTGTTAGTCATTATAGTTGTCTGTATAGTTTGTCTATACAGTCATGCTTTTCATTAGTTGTAGATTTCATTATGTTGCAATCATGGTTTCGTTATTATAGTTGTCTATATAGCTAGCTTCTGCCATAGTTTTTGTTAGTTGTTGCCTGTGTAGTTACAGTCACGGTTTTCGTTACTTATTGTAGTTGTCTATAGCAACAGTTGTGTTTTTGTTAGTTGTTATAGTTGGTCACAATTTTCGTTAGTTGCTGTAATTGTCTACTTAGTTACTGTCATGGTTTCTGTTGGTTGTTAAACTCATGGTGTCTGTTAGTTACTGTAGTTGCAAATGTAGTTACAGTCATGATTTCTGTTATTGTAGTTGTCTATATAGTAACAGTCATGGTTCGTTATGTTATAGTTGTCTATATAGTTAATCGTTATTTGTTAATTATTGTAGTTATCTTTATAATGACAGTCATGATTTCTGTTATTGTAGTTGTCTATATAGGTGCAGTCATGATTTGTTAATTATTGTAGTTGTCTATACAGTTACAATCATGATTTCTGTTATTATAGTTGTCTATACAGTTACAGTCATGGTCTTCATTAATGTAGTTGTCTATATAGTTACAGTCACGATTTCTGTTATTGTAGTTGTCTATATAGTAACATTGATGGATTTAGTTGTCAGAATCAGTTTCTATAGAATCAGTATCTATATAGTTACGGTGATGGTTTTCATTACTTGTAGTTGTCTATATAGTTTCAGTCATGCTTTCAGAGTTCATCTGTGTGTTCGTATAGTTGTCTATTATAGTTACAGTCATGTTTTTTGTTATTGTAGTTGTCTATATAGTTACAGTCATGTTTTCCGTTAGTTATTGTGGTCATCTCTATAGTTTCAGTCTTGGTTTTCATGTTCGTGCGTGTGTTTGTGTAGTTGTCTATATAGTTACAGTCATGCTTTCTGTTATTGTAGTTGTCTATATAGTTACAGTCATGATTTGTTAGTTATTGTAGATGTCTATATAGTTACAGTGATGGTTGTAGTTATTAGAATCAGTTTCTATAGAATCAGTGTCTATATATTGACAGTGATGGTTTTTGTTACTTATTATAGTTGCCTATATAGTTAGCCATGATTTGTTAGTTATTGTAGTTATCTTTATAATGACAGTCATGTTTTCTGTTATTGTAGTTGTCTATATAGTTACAGTCATGATTTGTTAGTTATTGTAGATGTCTATATAGTTACAGTGATGGTTGTAGTTATTAGAATCAGTTTCTATAGAATCAGTGTCTATATATTGACAGTGATGGTTTTTGTTACTTATTATAGTTGTCTATATAGTTAGCCATGATTTGTTAGTTATTGTAGTTATCTTTATAATGACAGTCATGTTTTCTGTTATTGTAGTTGTCTATATAGGTGCAGCCATGATTTAATTATTGTAGTTGTCTATATAGTTACAGTCATGATTTGTTAGTTATTGTAGTTGTCTATATAGTTACAGTGATGTTTTCATTATTTGTTATAGTTGTCTATACAGTTACAGTCATGGTTTCATTACTTATTGTAGTTGTCTATATAGTTACATTTAGTTGTCAGAATCAGTTTCTATAGAATCAGTTTCTATATAGTTACGGTGATGGTTTTTATTACTTGTAGTTGTCTATAGTTACAGTCATGATTTCTGTTATTGTAGTTTGTCTATATAGTTACAGTCATGGTTTTTGTTATTTGTTATAGTTGTCTATATAGTTACAGTCATAGTAACGCTGATTTGTTACTTATTGTAGTTGTCTATATAGTAACATTGATGGATTTAGTTGTCAGAATCAGTTTCTATAGAATCAGTATCTATATAGTTACGGTGATGGTTTTCATTACTTGTAGTTGTCTATATAGTTTCAGTCATGCTTTCAGAGTTCATCTGTGTGTTCGTGTAGTTGTCTATTATAGTTAAAGTCATGTTTTTTGTTATTGTAGTTGTCTATATAGTTACAGTCATGCTTTCAGAGTTCATCTGTGTGTTCGCGTAGTTGTCTATTATAGTTAAAGTCATGTTTTTTGTTATTGTAGTTGTCTATATAGTTACAGTTATAGTTTCTGTGTTCATGTGTTTTTGTATAGTTGTCTATATAGTTACAGTCATGTTTTCCGTTAGTTATTGTGGTCATCTCTATAGTTTCAGTCTTGGTTTCCATGTTTGTGTGTGTGTTAGTGTAGTTGTCTATATAGTTACAGTGATTGTTTTCATTATTGGTCGTAATGTTTGTCAGTATATTTGTCTATATAGTTAAGGGGGTTTGTTATTGTGTTCAGGCGAGGAGCGCGAGAAGCCCAGCGACTCTGAAAACTCTGAGAGTGAGTCTGAGCGTGAGGAGGAGGAGCGTCCTGCTGATGAAGATGAGGAAGAGGAAGAGGATGAGGAGAGCGTGAAGCGGCGGCGTGAGAGGAAGAGCAGCGGCAGCGAGAGCGGAGACGACCGGCAGGCCCGTGACGAGGAGGAGATCTTTGGTAGCGATGACGACAGCGAAGAGGAGGAGGAGGAAGAAGAGGAGGGCGGAGCCAGGAGGCGGAGCAACAGCAGCAGCGTCCAGCATAGCGCCAGCGAGCGTGCATCTGACTCCAGTGACGCCAGCGACTCCGACTGAACACAACACCGCTGACACCAGAGCAGTTCTGTGTTGCTCCTGCAGAGGCATAGTTCACCCACAAAAACACGTTGACCCCTTTATGAGTTTGTTTCTTCTGTTCAACACAAATGAAGATATTTTGAAGAATGTCTATAAACCTGTAACCATTGAGGGCTTTTCCTACTGTGTAAATCAGCGGTTACAGATTTTCAGCTTTCTCCAGAATATCTTTAGTGATGCACAGAAGAAAGAAACTTACACAGGTTTGTGACAAGTGAATGAGTAAATAGTGATGGAATGTTTGGGTGAACTATCCCTTTAACTCTCTTATTTAAAGCGACAGATCACCAAAAAACACTGACTCACTTATTTAGTGATTTAAAAATGTTTTAGTTCTGTTAAACACAAAATAAGTGATTTCAAAGAATGCTGGAAACCTGTAACCATAGACTTACACAGTAGGAAAAACAAATACTGTGGAAGTCAATGGTTACCAGTTTTCTGCATTTTTCAGAATATCTCATTTTGTGTTCAACAAAAGAATGGTGTGTGACAAGTTTATTATCAGTAAATAATGACAGAATTGAATCTCTTTAACTGAAAATAAGATATGTTTTGAAGAATGCTGGAAACCTGTAACCATTGACTTACACAGTAGGAAAATCAAATACTATGAAAGTCAATGGTTACAGGTTTACAGCATTTTAAAATCTTTAACAGAAGAATTTACTCTCCCTCAAGTGGTTTCAAACTAAGTTTTATTTCTGTTGTACACTAAAGAAGATATTTTGAAGAATGCTGGAACCCTGTGCAGTGACTGCAATAGTAGGAAAAATAAAAACTATGGAAGTCAATGGTTACCGGTTTCCAGCATTCTTAAAAATGTTCAATTGTGTTCAACAGAAGAAAGAAACTCAAACAGGTTTTTGACAAGTGAAGCGTATATAAGTAAATAATGAGAAAACTTTCATTTTTGAGTGAACTGTCCCTTTAACACTCTCCTTTATTACGACGTATTATTCGTATTACTCGTTTATTATGTTCAAATAAATCTACTCTCCTTTTAGGAGTTTCTTTTTTCAGTTGAACACAAAAGAAAATATTCTGAAGGAAGCTGAAACCGGTAACCATTGACTTTCATAATATTTGTTTTTCCTATGGAAAGGTTTCAAACATTCTTCAAAATATCTTCTTTTTTGTTCAACAGAATAAAGAAACTCCTTATTTTCAGTTAAAGAGATTCACTTCTGTCGTTATTGACTGATAATACACTTGTCACACACCTTTATGAGTTTCCTCTGTTGAACACTGAAGAAGATATTCTGAAGAATGCTGGAAACTGGTAACCATTGACTAACATAGTATTTGTTTTACCTGCTATGAAAGTCAATGGTTGCCGGTTTCAAACATTCTTCAAAATATCTTCTTTTGGGTTCAACAGAAGAAAGAAACTGCTGAAGGTTTGACCCCACAGGAGGGAGAGTGGATAGTGAGTGAATGTTATTTGTGTGTGAACTGCCCCTTCAGTGTTTCAGTGCTGGATGAGTGTGAGATCAGATTTTTTATTTGCTGTTTGATCTTCTTGTTTTATTTGATTCTGGACGGAGCCTGAGTGAGTGAAATGCTTATTCGTGAGCGTCTTCCTGTAGTTGTTTCTCTCATTACAGTGTAAACATTGTAAATAAACTGATTTTGGTACATCAGAGTTTCTTCTAGATTCACTCAAATCAGCAGAAACACGCCGAGACTTCAGACAATATTTAATGTTTAGTTCAGGAAAACAGTGAATAATCAAACATTTGAAAGAGCAGAACAGAGATTCACATGCAGATTCTGATTTATTTCATGATGTTTGGTCACAGTTTAGCGGAAAAAGGAGAGTTTCTGCTTCAGCCAGTCCTCAGTCAGATCATCCGGGTTGCGAACCTCAAAAATCTGCAGAAATACAGAAAACATGTCAGTATTAATCATATTCCTGTAGCCTAGTCTCTATTCCAGAGGTCACCACAGCGTGATGAACCACCAACTATTCAAGCATATGTTTTACATAGCGGATGCCTTTCCAGCTGCAACCCAGTACTGGGATACACCCATACACACTCATTCACACACACTCATACACTACAGCCAGTGTAGTTGATCAGTTCCCCTATAGCGCATGTGTTTGGACTGTGGGGGAAACCGGAGCACCCGGAGACAACCCACACCAACACTGGGAGAACATGCAAACTCCACACAGAAACACCAACTGACCCAGCCAGGACTCGAACCAGCGATCTTCTTGCTTTTGGGCCACAGTGTGACACCACTGAGCCAGCGATATCAGTATTAGATTAAAGTCAAGCGTGCAGGACGAATATTTACTGTAACCGTTTGTCTTTAAGGAGTCTCGTGTTCTGAAGCATACACAATAAAATGACATATTTTGCATTATTTGTATAAAATTCTCATCGTTTATAAGTTTCATATAGTTTATAAGTAATAACTGGTGACGGGTCGGTGAATTATTAGTAAATGGGGATAATTCTGCATCTGTGTGTGGCTCTAGTGTCCTCCACATCTCCTGTTGTGTTCTGCTGTAATCTCTGACTGCTGGAGCTGTGAATAACTCTTCAGCGGAGTGATATGGAGCCGCTCTAAACCTGCCGGAACTACTTTAGCTGTCCATTTATCTGACAATAACCGAACACCTGAGAGTGACCATCAGCCAATCAGAATCCAGCATTTAGCAGAGCTGTGGTGTAATGTTAGTGGAGTGATATGGAGCTGTAATGCGCTCTAAACCTGCCGGAACTACAGAGTCCAGCATTCATGTGTGTGTGTGTGTGTGTGTGTGTGTGTGTGTGTGTGTGTGTGTTTGTGTGTGTGTGTGTGTGTGAGTGTTTGTCTGTGTGTGAGACGGTGGAAGAGTTCTGTCTCCTTTGTGACCATTTGCTTCGACCTAAAACGCGGCTGGGGGGAAACAGCACTTTTTACAGTGTGTGGCTCAATGTCGAACTTATATTTAATATATGACATTTCACACAAATCATCGGACCAAAGACATGACCCTGGGGTATTTTTGCAGATTGCTTTTTCAGTACCTCAGCAACTGTGGAATTACTCTTCCTCAAGAAAGCCTTTGAGTTGGACGAGGTGATCACCTCGGACGGCTGTGGCCATCCTGATCTGGAACAGCTCAGAGAAAGTGATATCATGATCGGAGAGCCATGCTAAATTGAAAACATCTTGCTGGCTGGAGGCTCTGCAAAATACCCATATATTACATATTGTATAACACTCAATTGGCCAACTGGACAATTATTCTGTTGTGGCATCTCAAATGGTCTGTTTTTGAACTTATAGCTTCATTTTTGCGAGCGTTCGGTTTTAATAGGTTAA